TCAATAATAATGACACATGTAATTTTGCGTTTGTCTGTTTACTAGTAAATGTCATGTTGATCGTAGGAAGCACTGGAATGCTTTGAATTCTAGCGCTACACACCAGGGCTTACATAATGGTTAATGGTTAAAAGCAAAATAAATGTACTAGACATATAAGGTTATGTAGCTCTAAAGGAAGGTATAGTAAGGAGTAGTGAAGTACTGTTGAGTTAGTGGTTAGTTGCTATACGTTAGCTACCTAGATTAATATTGAAAAGGTTAAGTTGGGCAAAGGAGTTGTTGAGGTCGGGCTAGGTCAAGTGGGGGTAATAATTCGTGGCTGGAATACGCGAAAAACGTGGTTGGTGTGATAGGGACATAGCGGCATAGCGTGCTAGAGTACAGTATCTGCCTGTTTGTTGCCGGGGATTCCAACATAGCTGGGTACCCAACAAATTCTGATAGTTTTACGGCGTGTGGACAGGTAGAACCACCAGTTCTGGATCTTACTCACAAGTGGATTGGTCGAGTGTATTGACTTTATGAGAGTTAATGAGTTACGGGAGTCAGTGAAAATAGTGAAAGATTAAGAAGGGAGTGAGTATATGTGTTTTTGGGCAAAAAGGAGGGCATATAGTTCTAAAGTAAGGACACTGGATTCAAGTGAGAGGGGGTATTTAAAAGTGCGAGAATGGGTAGGTGGATTTGGAGCCATCAGTGTAAACATGACTACTGGAGGAATGAATAGAGACATGGTCAGAGAATCAGAGAATATTTGATTTTGGTGGGTCAGGGAAAACAGAGGAGCAAATACAGGGATTAGGTATAAGCCATGGAGGGACAGAATGGACAGAAAACGGAAGAGGTCGGAGATGGGGAAAAGGGGAATAGGAGGGGATTGGAGACTGGAGAGATCAAGGTAACATGAAGATGGAGGAGAGTTGCGATCTGAGCCCCAGGATATATGGGACAGAATTTGTAAGATTCGGAGACGGTGGCGAGCTTTGTTTTTAATGTAAAAGATATTGTCTCGCCAGGACAATTTGGAGTAAAAAATAACGCCAAGGATTTTGCCAGAGTAACGGTAGTGCAGTGGAGTGCCATATAAGAGGAGTGGAGGTTGGGGACCTACACATGTAGAGAAAAGGATGGAGAAAGATTTAGAGGTAGAAAAGCGGAAGCCATGGTTAGTGGCCCAAGAAGATACTGGTGATATTGTAGTCTGAAGGAATGGCAGATATTTGGTATGGATGTGCCAGAGGCGAAGATGGTTAAATCATCAACATATAGTGATGGCCGGGCTCCTGGTGGTAGAACTGAGACAATGTCATTAACAGCAAGAACGAATAAAGTGGTGCTGAGCATATTGCCTTGTGGGACACCGAACTGAGGAAAGAAGGATGCGGAAGAGGCAATTTTGACACGGAAAGTGCGTTCGGAGAGGAAAGATTTTATAAAGACCTACTTGTGTTTGGAGACATTGCTGGAAGAGAGGAATGCTGTCAGAGTAGGGAGCTGTGGGAGGGATCACGAAAAATCGGTCCCATTTGGCTGGGCTAAATAGAGTTTTTAAGATATTTGTAGAAATGGGGGTAGTAGAAGGAAGGGAGCGTTAGCAAGGGGGAGTAGTGTTAAGGGAGGTAGTATTTTAGAGAGGTGGTCAATAAGGCTGTAAAGTAGTAAAAAGGGAGGATGGGGTAATTGATGAAGAAGGTTGTGGGGGAAGAGGTGATGAAGATAAGCATGTTGGGAGAGTAGGAATGTCTCCTGGAGATAATGCATTGAGGAGGGAGAGCCTGGGGTCAGGGAGTCGGGAGAGTTTGAATTGGTGGGCTATTTGATGAAGGGGCAAGCCTCATTGCCCCTATTAAGGGTATAACATCTTCATTATTGGCCATGGTAAGCCTGGAGTATGTTGGGGGAAGAAAGTCCACTCCTCAGGGTCCCCTTGAGAGATAAGGGCTAGAAAACTAAAACAAGGGATTACCGTGCCCAAGGCTCCCTCAGGCCGTTCAGGAGTGGCACAAAGTCAGCCTTTCATCCTTTCAATATATACGGCTCTCACATCTTAGGAAGTGTATATAAGGAGCTGGGAAAAAAGACCGTGAAAAATTAGTTGAGTCGAGGGCTGAGTCCCATGGCGGGGGAGTTCTCCAGCATTGGGCACAGTCTTCGTCTCCTAAGCCCCCCCCCCCCCGACTACAACGGGATTGGGGGACCAGGGCTTACATAAAAAATGCTGATTAGACTGGTGTTCCCAAGGCTAGTCCGAGACATGAAGACTACTAGGCTGCTCAGCGCCACCGCAACCATCAGCAGCAGTGGAAGCCGTAACAAAAAGAAATGTGGAAATACATGGATTGTGAAAATACCTTCTTAGTTTTAAAACATTTAATAATGGTTAATGGTTAAAACAAATAAATGTGCTAGGCGTCAAAGGTCATACAGAACTATACTGCATAATAGCGAACAGGGTAAAAAATTGTTGATGAATTAAACAAAATGTGTCACATATCAACAATAGAGAGGGTGGAATGGAGGGTAGATATGCGTCTGAGAAAGGAAAGCAAGCTGTCAAAGGAAAAAATAGGAATTTCCATGAAGATGTCCAACAGGCTGGAGGATCGGGGAAGAAATTACTACTGAGGAAAAGCAGAGGTTTGGGCTGCAGTAAATCGGGGATAGGACATTAGTGTGTGTAGGACTGGAAGAGTGAAGTTGCACAGGGACAGTCAAAAAAAAGCCTTATGAAACAATTAGCGGATAGTAAGGGTTAGAAATGGGTGTCAGAGAAGTAGAAGAACCCAGGGAATGTGACGAGAAAACTGGAGAAGGAGCTGAAGTATCAGGAAGAACGTCACGGGGGGAAGGATCTGGAGGACATTTGTGGCAAAAGGGAGTAACATGAGTGTCTTGGAGGGAGCGGAAGGGGTAATGGGAAAAGAGGAGGGGATGGGGCAGATGGGGAAAGGGGGCGTATTAGAAGAGAGTGGGAGGAAGAGGGGCAGGGGGAATAGGAGCGGAATGAGGATGGAAGTCGGAAGTCACTTTGAGTGTAGAAGAAGTGGGAGTTGATGAGAGACTGGAGGGTGGATGAAACAGAGAAGCTTTCTCTTGGGTCATGTTTAGGGAGTTTTTGGTGTTCTAAAGTGTTTCTAGAGGAGAGTTGGGTGAGAGGTCTGAGAAACGAAGGTTTCTTGTGAGGAGGACAAGGGAGACAGATGTAGAAGGAGCTGAGGAAGAGGTGGGCGTTGGAGAGGGTGTGGTAGAAGATGGGGTGGAACGTTTAGATGGTAGAGACAGTAGAGTATCTGGATTTAGACTCGATGAGGAGCTTAAGTGGGAGAGGGAGGGGGTAGCGGTAGGGTGGTAAGGGACAGAAGAAAGAGATACTGGGAAGATGCTGAGACACCCTGGAAAGAAGGGAGAGGAGCGGAGCGAAGGGCAGCTTAGAATAGAAGGTTGGGAGAGGAAAACCTCGTCGGCGGGCTTCCTGCCTGGCCTCACGCAGAGTAAGACCTGGTTTGAATCTGAGAACTGCTACCTCTGACTCAAACTTCCAGGCAGGGCAGCTGTCTAGAGGCTCGTGAGTGACTGTGAAAAAAGTAAGGCCATGACCAGTTTGGGGGCATAGAGGACTGTGGAGCGACAATGCTTGGCAGGGTGGCCGAAAGGAAACCAGTTAAGTTAATATCAGATATTCTACTTGATGAAGGGATCGGCCTCAATGCTCCTAAGAAGGGTACAAAATCTTCATTATTGACCATGATGAGCCTGATGTAGGGTGTGTGTGTGTGTGTGTGTGTGTGTGTGTGTGTGTGTGTGTGTGTGTGTGTGTGTGTGTGTGTGTGTGTGTGTGCGTGTGTTACATATGTGCATGCACACACACACATCGTCGTCTGTGGCCTAGCTAGACGATTGAAGGTGGAGCTTGCGTGGGCATGAGGGCACTGAACGACGGTTCCGTCTTTCCTTTCTCTGTCTCATCCTTGTGGTTCCTCCAGTTTGTTTGAAAGGCTTCCTAGGCTTTATCCGACCTGGCCCTCCGGTGCGGTCCGGTTCCTGATGTTAAACTTCTTGACATCAGCCATGCCTTAGCCAATTGGAAGTTCCCATGGAGGTTGTTGCTGTTTGGGATTGCGAAGATCTTGTTTTGAAAGTCTTTTAACCCCGACCCCGTGGCCAGATCATCGCAGCAGGTGGCGAACGATGACAATCTCTAAGCTCATCATTTTGGATTTTTCCAATACTTCGATGTCCGTTTTCCTTTCCTCCCAGAAGATATTGAGGATTTGTCCGAGTTGTTTTGACGCAAGCATTCTTGAGTTCTCAGATGACGACAGTAGGTTGTCTCTGTCTCGCAGGTATTGTGAAGGATGCTGATAATGACAGCTCTGATTAAAGGTTGGTGGAAGGGTAAAGGTTCCGGTTGCTGAATACTTGGTGCACAAGTTCGCCATCGCCAATGTAAGCCTGATGAAGACGATATTGGACTTCGTCTATCGTGCCACTGGAAAACAGGAAGGGGCTGAGGCGCTTTCTTTGACTTTATCAGTTACCACTGATTTTGGATTTGGCAGATTTGCGATTGGAATTTAGTCGTCACATCCTTATACTGTTGATGCTTCTCCCTTAGGGTTGGATGGTCTTCCATCTGGTTCTTGGCTCTTCGTTTCACTGATGAGGAAGCATACCTTGTCAATTCTTTCAGAGTTTCAGATGGTGAAGGAGAGTTTTTGGAGAGCTCCCCCTCCAGGTCTCGCAAGAATTGTGTTTGATGGACCGAGTCTTTGAAGGGGTGACGGCGGGGTTAACGTGGGTTCAATCCCTGGATCGAGTGATGTAGTCCACGTGAGCGATGGTGCATCCTGGAAGTTTTGTTTGTTTTTGATGTAGAGTACTTGTGATCAGATGGCGCATTTCAGAATAATGGCCGAGAAGTACACTGAAGTTGGCATGCCCTACCCCTTGCTTTCCAGTCAGTGGTTCCTCCCCACACAGATTTCACCTAAAATGAA